CATTTTTACTGTTGATGATCTTCCTCCACACAAATGGAGAAATCGGATGTATGAATTTCAAGTCTAGTTACAAGTTGAGATGCTTAAACCTAATGCCCAAGTCTCTACTGTACTTATGCAGTTTACAGCTAGATATGGTGGCATTCTCCGTGATTGATGGATTAGTCTTCAGGAGTAAAGACAAAATTTGTTCATCCAAATGCCAAATATTAATCAAGCTCTATACCTCCTCTATGATGAATTTTGTGGATTACCTCACCTTTATAAGGACTAGGTCAAAGAAGAATATTTTAAGATGTGATGATGTTCTCTCAAAAAGAAAGATCTTGACAAACATTACAAAGAGATTGTCAAAAGATATCATATACCTAGGGGTATAGATGATCATAACATGAAGCAAGCCTTTTTAGCATCTATTCCAGAATCCCTAAGTCATGAAGCAACCAAGCTTATGCAGTCTCAAAGCAAACAACTTGGTTCCACTTCTCTTGGAGAAATTTATCAGTTTGTCCTTCTTGTTCTGGAAAAGCTCTGTTCTCAAAAACAATTTTTTTACGATTATCTGAAGCGTTCTAAACAGTTGACAAAGGTTTGTCAGAGACCAGACTTATAGATCAAGTGCAAATCAGATCACTCATGTTCTTGTCCTACCAAGAAGAAGTTTCATTCTAGATGCATCAAGTTTTCTCCTCCTAATGCTCTTGCTAGGCGCAAATTTCGACGTTTCAAGTACCACAAGTTTCTTCGAAAAAAGAAATGTAGAGGCAAACGATCTAATCGGTGTTATTTGTTCAACCGTCCTAGTCATTTTGCCAAATATTGTCCAAACAAGCCCAAACCGTCAGCCAAAATGATGCAACAACTTTCTCAGCTCACTAATATAGATTTTTCTTATGATGATGTTGAAAGCTGGTTTTCAATGGATGAAGAACCCACTTCAGACATTGTTTTCCAGTTTGCAGCCACTGATACTGAGTTTTCTGATTTAGATAATTGTCACTATTTCTACCATGTCCAACAAATACCACAATCGCTTCCGCCATGTCACGTACCTACAGCAAAAGTTTAGATCTTCCCTACTAAATATTCCAATCCCATTTTAGTCATAGCATTTTTTGATACTGCTGCTACTCGTACTATTATCAACCCAAAGATCCTCCCATCCTCTTAGTGGAAACCTCATCAAGAAGTTTTCTACGTTGCTAATAGTGACTCTTTCACTACTCATCTGATCAGCGAACCCATTAAAATCCAAATTTTTCCAGGATATTTTACTTTTCATAAAGTTCTTGGTTTCGATTTACCTAGCAAAGATATGGTTCTAGGTTTTGATGTTTATTCTAAACTCAATAAACTTAGAATCCTCCCTGATGGTGCTCGGTACAAGATGTTTTTCCAATCCTAGACCACTCAGCCTAACTTATTCCAGATTGAAGGCAATCCTATTGAGCAGATCAAAACCCAGCTTATTTCCCGCTCTTGTACAGATTCTCATGCAGATTTTCTCACTAAATGTGCTTATCCATTATGGAAGAATTCTGATTTCTTTATCCATCTTCCATTCATTAAGAGTGAAAATATCAATCCCACCAAAGCTAGTCATTCTGGCATGTCACCAAAACATCTCAGCCTAGCCCAACAAGAATGTACTCAGCTTTTATCTCAAGGATTGATCGAACCCATAGATTCTCAATGGGCATGTGAAGCTTTTTATGTCAATAAACGTGTTGAACAAGCCAGAGGAAAACTCAGACTTGTTATCAATGATCAGATATTGAATTTCTTTCTTCGTGATGATAAAGCTCCTCTGCGTTCCAGACAAGTTCTCTTTGCAAATCTCCAAAATGCAAAGATGTTTTCCAAATTTGATCTCAAAGCTAGATTCTGGCAACTAGGAATTCATCCTGATGATCGTTATAAGACTGTTTTCTACATTCCCAACCAATATTACCAATGGACGGTCATGCCTTTTGGCCTTAAGGTCGCTCCTTCCCTGTTTCAAAAAGCCATGACGAAGATTTTTGCTCCCCTTCTTCATACATGTCTCATTTATATCGATGATATCTTTCTCTTTTCAAAAGACGAGGAATCTCATAGATGTCTTCTTCATGAATTTGCTGATATCATACACTTTTATGGTATTATGCTCTTTGAGAAGAAAATACAGTTAGGACAGACAAAGATTGATTTTCTTGGTATGGTGATTGCTGACGGCAAGTATGATCTTCAGCCTCATATTGCTAATGAGTAGCAAAAATTCCCAGATGTTCTCACAACCAAGAAAGAAATACAACAATTCTTGGGAATTGCCAATTACATGCACAGTTTTATTCCCAACATTTCTCATCTCACTACTCACTTTCCCAAATGCTTAAGAAGAATCCTCCTTCGTGGTCTGAAAAGCAAACCAGTGCAATCAAGAGTCTTAAATGCGAATCCTTCCATACACAGACATTGAAGATTCCTTCTTCTAGAAAACAAATTCTTCAGACGGATGCTAGTGACACTCATTGGGTGCAGTGCTTTTTGAACAAGATGATGACAAAGTATAACATTTGTGTGGGTACTAGAGTGGACAATTCGAACTACATCAACAGCATTATCATTCTACTTTCAAAGAAGTATTAGCAGTAAAAAATGTTATTGAAAGGTTTGAATTCCATCTTGTTGCACATCACTTCTTTGTTGAAACAGACATGAAGTCTTTTGATCAAATGCTCCAATTCAACAAGAAAAAGGTTCAGCATCAACAATTACTTCGATGGGCAGAATGGTTCAGCAAATATTCTTTCACCATCTAGCACATCAAAGGTCACACCAAAACCATTGCAGAGAATTTCTCCAGACCTAAAACTAAACAAGTCAGTTTCATGAACCCTAGATCCAAACCTCTTCCCTGTTTCATGTTCCAACCATTAACCCAGTCCAGTTCATGTTCATCATCTTCTTGACCAAACCATATTCCAAAAGTACCTCCTGAATTCGATGACCTTGTTCGAACTCGTACCATTGATGAAAATGCTACCACCCTCATGTTTTCTTATCAGATTCAATGTATTGAAAAATATGGACAATTCATGTATGATATGTTAGGTGTCCATCCAGATTATCCCTTTTCAAAAATCTTTTGTTTACCTCCAAGTCTTGATATCATATTTTTAGAAGAATTATTATGGTTCTTTTGGTATATGTTACACCAGTACCATATTTCCATTCAATTCCCAGTCCATCATATGTTGAAAATAATTTTCCAATACCAGTCAACCTCAACCTTTGAGTTACACTCTTTGATGACTTTTTTCAAATGGTTCAAAACCCTAGAAAAATGGAAATATGTGTTTGCTCATAAGCTTGCCCGATACAAAGGTCCTATGTCTACCAAAATGGCATGGTCTATCATGTTTTTCCACAAACATCACTCCATCAGATCCGATGGCCTATATTTTTCACAGCATCAAGTCACATTTCATCGGTCTTATCCATATGATCTCGTCCACAATATGTTTGACCATCCTGTTGAGACTAGATCAATTCAAAAAATCGTTTTTGAAAAAAATCAGATAATTCTAGATGAAATATGGCCATCCATTCACGATGATGCTCCGTGGAAACTTTTTCCTCCAAACTACACTGAGAAATTACTCCAAGCCAAACAAACATGCATACGTTCCATCATTGCTTAATTCAATACCACTTCAGATTATCCAGAATGGTGGTACCCAAACTCATAGCCAGATACTGTGCAGGAAGAAGAGTTTCAGCAGTCTCGTAATACCTATCTTCATAAATCCAAGCGACAATAGATCATGTATGCACCAAGTACCTCTGCAAAGCCGACATCTCAGTTTCTAGAAATTTATCTGGATACTCATCTAGATACATCTTCTCGACAAATCCCCACTGACTGAATTCAATCAATGGGTTGTCTCGATTTCTAGGATGAAGACTCGTGGCACTTTACAAACTTGTCAGATGATTAAAGCTCTGCGTGTCTTAAAATAAAAGTTGTCTTTTATGTTTATATGTAAAATAGTCCTAGACTAAATGTTAATTTGCCAACTCAGTGTAATAGCTTCCGTATGAGTTGTAAAAGTCAAGTATTGTAGGCAAAAAAAAAAGACTAGTCATGTATTAAATGACTCATTAATGAGTCTTGAATGCAATGTATTAATCTTCTTTATAAATAAAAGCTTTTACCTTCTCGTGGAAGAGGAGCATTGTGAAAAACTCTTGTATATTTCTCTTGCTTTTACATTATTCTCTTATCAACAATCTTTTACTTCTCCCTTGCATATTTTCTTTGCACATCTTTACCATAGTTCTTCCATGTTTCTTTCATACTTCTAAACTTTCCTCAACCTCAAGGGTGTTGTAATATTTTGATAATGTTAAGGGTAGCAAAAGATCCCATATATGTTCTTCATTTATGTCTTTGATATGTTTAATATATATGTTCTTCATTTATATTCTTGATATGTTTAATTTTCACTAGCCCTTTTAAATGATGTTAAAAAATATGTGGGTGTAAGTGTATATGGGATAAGAGGAGGGTCTTGACCATGATTTCGACCGATCGTTGCGTTGATTGGTTTCACTTAAGTCGGCTATCATAGTTTCCCACATGCATAAACTCCATAATCGATCTTCTGGCAGCATCTCTAAGGTCTAGTAACCCGTATGGTATCTAGTTTAGATTTATTAATTTAATATGGTTATCATGACCTCATATCAAATCAGTAGTGATTAATAAATTGTTTCTTCTCATTTTAAGAGTATTTTAGTCATTTCCATGGTCAAAAGTAGTCTTTGGTTAGTTTTGACTGCCAAAACTAACCGTAGGGGAGGTGTTTAAATAATATGCGATACTTTTGGACCTAATGAACATTGGATACTTCAGGGAGATAAATGGTTTAAACCCTCTAAATAAGTATTGCAATATATAGTAACAATTTGAACTTTCAAAGTTGTTTCATTAGCTAAAATTACAAAAAGCAATTCGCATGTCATTTCCTTGTTCGGAATCAGTCTCTTTCTCTGTCTCTCTTCATAACTCTTCCATTGAAACTCCTTACACTTTATCTCCCTACATAGACAAACAAAGTAAAGAGTATGGCCAAAGTCTAAACAGCTTTGGCTTCTTTGGGATACGAAATTTTCCGAAAGCTGAAAGTTGCCGGATTGTGGCCAAACTCAGGTCTGTTAATTAATGGGATTTTTTCCCCTCATCTTCTTAAAGAAATCATTTTGAGCATCAATGGCTTCTCATAATTAATACATATACTTAGACAATTAATGCATGGTTTTTTTAGCATCAAAGGTTTCAATTAATAAACTTGGATCTATTACGGAGAAACATAATATTTCTTTTTCTTATACATTAGAAGATCTACCATCCATTCTTTTTCTCCAATTTTACATCTCATGACTGGTTTAATATTTTCACCTTTTTCGTTTGTGCATACATAGTTTTTTATTTTATTGTTATTTTGATCCTCATAATCCTATGTTTTTTGGTTTTTTTTTTTTTTTTATTATTATTATTATGAAGAGTTAAATCATTAAACTCCTGCCTTTTTAGGCTAAATTTGATTAATTTATCATTGATATGATCTTAGTTTATTTCTGCATTTTAAAGGATTAGCCGTACACGAAGAGAGAGAAGTTACAGGAGATGAAATATGGATCCATACTGATAGCTTTACTACAAACTCTTGTTAATTTTTCTGTATACTTTGAAGTTCTCTCGGACAACAGGTTATGGAGACGTTTAACCTTTTCTCTGCAATTAATATATATTTCATATCCACACAGCGTTTGTCACAGTCATACAACTTTTATTCTTTTCTTTCAGTTTGAACTCTTTGTTCTGGATCTATTTTCATCACTTACATCTCAGATCTTCCAAAAACAATTTTTCATTTTTTATTTTTCCAGTTCATGATATTCTACAGGCATGCATAAAGTTAATGGAACTCTCGGAGTTTGAGATATTTGTGTTTCGTGACATCTTTTACTAGGTTTTATGAGATATTTGTGTCATAAAAAATATTTTTGTAAGTACTTCAGTCTATAATATTTTTGTTTCAGTTCATCTCTTAACTAACTTTGTTATATATACAAATAAAGAAGAGGTATATTTGGGTAATTTTCTTAAATATTTTTGTAAGAATTAAGTATTCTTCCAGGATTATTGGTGTAGAAATGAGGAGAGGAAAAATAGAGATCAAAAGGATTGAGAACACAACGAACCGCCAGGTGAACTTTTGCAAGAGGAGGAATGGACTACTGAAGAAAGCCTATGAACTTTCAATTCTTTGTGAAGCTGAAGTGGCGCTCATCGTCTTCTCCAGCCGCGGCCGCCACTATGAATATTCTAACAGCAGGTAATGTTTTCTTCTCATCCCTTGATTATCACAGTGTGCCTATATATCTCTTCGGACTTTGAATTTTTACTTCTCATTTTTTGTTTGAAAGTAGCTGATTATATATCCACATTTATGCACTTAATTCCTGTGTTATTTCTTTCGATTCATCTTTAACTATTGAAGCTTTCCTTTTGGATATACTTTTGAATCATTCATAAAAGGGTATTGGTAGATTGAGTTCAGATTGGACTCAACAATTTTTTTTTCCTTATAATAGCACAAAAATTATCAGTGTAGTTGACAATTTTATGATTTACACAGTTACAGCTATTAGCCAGAACTTGCACAGCGATGTCTAAGATTATTACTATTATTATTATTATCACTATTTTGGCTGAGTACTGAGGGGCCCCTTAATGTCTAAGATTTGATTTCACTGTAAACCCTCTGAATGTTTTGAGTACATATTGTGATATCTCTGTCCTTAACAGAATATGAACCTCAAAATTTCAGAACTTCACGGATTCCCTGTTTGAAATCTTTGTCCTTCACGGATTCACTATTTTTAGGAAGTGTTTGATTAACTAGAGGAACAAAAGGGCAACCAAGCTCTGGATCATCAGCTCTAAGCCCTGATTGTTGTTCATTTGTTCCATTTTGGTTCATTGATACTTGAGAATCCGTGTATAAGTGGAGGGCCAGCTGTACATTGTATAAACAAAATGAAACTCTTAGTTCTCTGTATAAGATTTTTATTTTATCATTATCAGGGTCAAATTGAAGGATTCAATATTTCCAACGAATATCTTAGGGTTACTTCAGTTAGTAATTGCACTTCTCCCTAGTAAACAAAAGAAAGAAAATCAGTTGTAGTTTGTCTTCCTCACTTTATCTCTCAATCTCTTCATATTGTTGTTTTCTGTGCACATTAAAACTCCATTTCTCTTTTTTACATGCGTGCGAATGTTCGCGCAAAAGTTTTGATCTCCTGAATTCTTCCTCTTAACTCATGTATTGTGTTTAGGGGAGTTTGTACAAGTTTATGTTCCTCCCTTCACATGACAACTTAAAAGATAACAGAAACTCTTTTGCTGTTGAAATCTTCAGTCTTGATTGCAGTGAATCAGACCTTGGCTAAGTAGTTTCAATAGTTTAATTTTCTTCCAAATGTTAAAGAAAAATATTGAAATATGCAGCCCATTCTGCTGTAGGTCCATCATTTATGCCCATACTTTATACAGTGGAATCCTCACCATAATTATTTGTTAGCATCTCATTAGTGGCAAGTTAATTTTTTGGTCAATATATGTATTCTGTTTAAGTCGTGAATGAGCTTTCATGATAAAACAAAACAAAACAATTCAAATAAGAGTTACCATTTAGTAGTTAAAGGCAGCAACATTTTCCCAGATGCAATAAAGAAAAAGTTGCAGTGTCTTGTAAATGTAGCTTTCGTGCAGTAGTTCTGTCTTCATCAATCAAAGTTTCTTAATTTTTTTTTTTATTTCCAGTTTTAGCTTTCATAATTCATACATCCTTCTGTTGAAGCAATATAATCTAAGATCATATATCTTTTGTCAGTTTTGTTCACTCTTCTATCAGTTCTCTTCACTCTTTTGTCAGTTCTCTTAACTCTAAAAGGCTTGACTGAAGCTCACTATTTTTTTATTTTCCGGTGACAAAAAGTTAAAAGCAAAACACATGAACATGTTTTTATACTTGAGCAAGTTTCCATGCATTTTCACTTATCATTTTGTTACAATTTGGAAGCTTAATGCTTTTTTACTATTTTTCACGCAGCATGACTTCAGTCATAGAGAGGTACAAGAAGGCGTCTTCAGATAATTTGAATGCACGGTCTGTCATAGAGAACAATGCTCAGGTTTGTTGTTTCCACATATATAATTCAATTATTCATATAATATTATCACATTAGTAGACAATTAAAAATAAGCAAACTTTTCATAAGTTTGTATTCAATACTTGTTAGTGTTTATGTGCTGGAGATAACTAAGAAAAGAATGAGAACATAATCCGATTGAAGAAAAGTGCCCTGAATTTTCTTTAGTTAAAAATGAGTTTACACTTCAACTAATAAAGCAGATTTTACACTATTACACCAAACATGCAGACATATAAAAAGCTTGATTTAATCTGAAGTTACTGACTTAATACCAACTAGTCAACAANGATTGAACATGATCAATTCTTATGATTATGAATTGATTATTAATGTATTATTGTAATTATGGCATGTACTAATGTTTACCCATTAGGTAGATGATCTTTGAAAGATATACATGGTCATGATGTCAATGTATGATTAATGTTATGAAATGGCATGAAGATGTAATGTAATACATGTTTCAAGATGAGGTATGTGAGCAAGAGGTAATGTAAATGGATTGATAATCCATAGATGAATTAAAAGTATTAAGCTCACCAAAATATGTATTTACATGCCATAAGATGTTAGAGATTCATATAAACATGATGGGAAACGTGTAAGCATATCCTCGTATATGGGTTGAGGAAAGATGAATATATGCTTTAGATGCTAAATAACACATAAGCACGCCTCCCGATGATATGAGGTCTAGATGAATTTGAGGCTAGATGATATGAAGTGCTTAAGATGCTAAGAAAAGTCCAATCGGCTAGACATTAAATGGTTCATATGCGTTTAGTAGCATTACATGAGTTATGATGTTATTTACATTATGTGATGATTTATGCTTATGTTAGATGATTTTAGATGTTATGTCATGACATGTGATGTGCGTGTACTATGTTACATACTTATTTGTATGTGTACACATTGATGTTATATAGCCATGGGATAAAATGATGAAAGACATATGAAATAGAAAACATACAGATATATATATATATATATATATATATATATATAATAAAAGGGGAAGTACCCTAGATGTAAAAGATAAGTGATGTGTTAACAAATATGTTTAAATAAAGATCAAATAGCACATTTAGAATGAAACGGATCATTCCTTACTGAGCGATTAGTGCTCACCCTTTATATTGTTGATTTCTTTGCAAGTAGGTTAGAAGCGAGGGATGCTAGAGACAGCGGGGCTACACGTGAGGGGAGATGATTTATTGTCATCTTGATGTTTTTATCTTGATGTAAATAATGTAAATGATAAATATTTGTGAAACAAATTTTGGAATAGTCAACCATATAAATATATTTAAAATGTGTATTTTATGGATAAATTCTTAAAGTTTTGAAATTATATGTTTGGATCTTGCATGACATTTTATATGCATGTATTGGATATTACTATTATTATCCTTACACGTATATTTTTTCCAAATACAACTCGTTTTCCAGACATGTATCCTCGAGATTCTCATTGAGGGATATTCAGAGGATACCGACTGGAGGGGTGTTTTAAATTTTACTTAATTGTTGTTTGTTTAATTTTCGTTATTTTTCTTTGTTTGGTATGATTTCACTCTTGCTATTTTTATGTGTAGTTTGTGCGAAGAGCAAGACGTCAGCTAGTGGTTCCTGTTGATCCTGAGATTGAAAGAACCACTCGAAGATTGAACAAAGAAAGAAGAGAAAAAGAAGCTATAGTTGAACCAGAAGTAATAGTTTTAGAGATGGTAGAGAATAGAACACTGAGGGAATTCTCAGTTCCCACAGTTGAAGGCAGTGGGTCAAGTATTACTAGACCAGCAGTACAAGCCAACAACTTTGAGATAAAGCCGGCAATCATCCAGATGATCCAGCAGTCGGTTTAGTTCAGAGGTGATTTGAAGGAAGATCCAAATCTACACATTGCAAATTTTTTAGAGATTTGTGATACGTTCAAGTCAAACGGAGTGTCAGATGATGCAATCAGATTGAGACTATTCCCATTTTCATTGAAGGATAAAGCTAAGGGATGGTTACTAGCACTACCATCAGGAACAATCACCACATGGAATGATTTAGCACAGAAGTTCCTGACCAAATTCTTTCCTCCAGCAAAGTTGGCAAAGTTGAGAAATGACATCATGTCATTCATTCAAGAAGAGTCAGAATCATTGTATGAGACTTGGGAGAGATACAAAGAATTACTGAGAAGGTGTCCACATCATGGGTTGCCAGTTTGGATGCAAGTCCAAACATTTTATAATGGATTAACGGTGAATGTGCAAACTATGGTGGATGCAGCCTCGGGAGTAGCATTACAGAATAAGACTTCGGAAGAAGATCACGAGTTGCTTGAGGTTCTGGCAAGCAACAATTATCAAAGACCTAATGAGAGGGTGCAACCAAAGAAATCTATGGGTCTTCATGAAGTTGATGCATATACAACCATTTCAGCCCAACTGATAGCACTTCAGAAACAATTGGGAAGTATGCAGGTAAATTCCATTCAAGCTCCTTAACTAACTAGTGATTTTTTATAGGTAATCACGTGAGCAATGAATGTCAAGTAGGGAACATGTTTGCCTTAGCATCGTCATCATCAGAGCAGGTTAACTACTTGGCTGGAAATCAAAGGCAACCGAACAATCCGTACTCCAACACATATAATCCTGGTTGGAGGAATCACCCGAACCTGTCTTGGGGCAATCAAAACCAACATAATTAGCAAAACAATCAATGGAATCAAAGGGCATTGCCAAACAACCAAACAGGGGTGAACAACCAACAAGGAGACCCAAGAGTGACAAAATTGGAGGACATGTTTGGGAACTTCATGCAAGAAACCACAAGTTTTATGAATGAGACAAGAACTAATTTCAGAAATCAAGGGACGTCCATTCGGAACTTGGAGATACAGATGGGGTAGTTAGCTGGAAAGCTAAATGAGAGACCACAGGGGTCTTTACCAAGCAACACAGTGACTAACCCACGTGAGCAAGCAAATGCAATAATTTTGAGGAGTGGGACAGTTTTGGAAAAGGTGGAAAAATCAAGAGAAGGAGAAAAGCCACCAAGGGAAAATGAAGAATCTGATGAGGAAGTAGATGAAGAGATAGTTGCTGAAGATAAACCATCTATTTCTAGGGAAAAAACAGAAATGGGAAGAGAGGCAAAAGAGAAGGAAAGAGAAATTTCCATTTCCCAAGATACCACCAGAATTGGCACATCACACTCCACCTGTGCCGTTTCCTCAACAACTGAAGAAAAAGAATCAGGATAAGTAGTTTTCCAAATTCATTTAAATATTTAGAAAATTGCATATTAACATTCCTTTTGTAGATGCATTGCAACAGATGTCGAGCTATGCGAAATTTCTTAAGGAAATTTTATCAAACAAAAGGAAGTTAGAGGATGAGGAAATAGTAATGCCGGCGGAGGAGTGCAGCACCATTCTTCAAAAGAAGCTACCTCTGAAACTCAAAGATCCAGGGAGTTTTACTATTTCTTGCATTATAGGAGATATTACTTTTGATCGTGTTTTATGTGATTTAGGTGCTAGCATCAATTTAATGCCTTTTTCTGTTTTCAGGAGACTGGGAATTGGTAAAGTGAAGCCAACGACCATGTCATTACAACTTGCAGATAGGTCCATAAAACATCCACGGGGTATAGTTGAAGATGCGTTGGTGAAGGTGGACAAGATTATCTTTCTGGCAGATTTTGTTGTATTAGACATGGAGGAGGATAAGGAAATGCCTTTTATTTTGGGCCGACCATTTCTGGCCACAGGAAGAGCACTAATAGATGTGCAAGAAGGAAAGTTACTGTTGAGGGTTCAAGATGAAACAGTAACATTCAATGTGTTTAAGGCTAAGAAGTTTCCATCCTAGATGGATTCATGCTTTAGTGTTGATGTGGTGGATAAACTACTAACGGAGACCATTGAAGAGAACACTCCACAACTACCTCTAGAAGCATGTATTGCACAATCAAGAACAGTAGAGGTAAAGGAATCAAAAAAGAATGAATGTGCTAGATTGTTGGAAGCACTTCAGCCGATTGATGAAAACCAAGATCTTGAATTTGAGGAATTTGATTATGAGAAAGAGAAGGCAAAGGAAAGAAATGAGGAACCTCCGAAGCTTGAATTGAAATCCTTACCTTCCCACCTCAAATACATGTATCTTGGGGAATCGAAAACATTCCCAGTAATCATCAGTTCAAAGTTGAGCAACTTGGAAGAAAAGCGATTGATTCGGGTTTTGAGAGAACATCCATCAACAATTGGATGGACTATTTCAGATATTAGAGGCATCTCTCCATCTTTTTGCATGCATAAGATACTCATGGAGGATGATATCAAGCCTAGAGTTCAACCACAACAAAGATTGAATCCTTCGATGAAGGAAGTGGTGAGAAAAGAGGTGGTGAAACTTCTAGATGCGGGAATAATTTATCCATTTCTGATAGTCTATGGGTGAGTCCGGTGCAAGTGGTTCCGAAGAAGGGAGGTATCACAGTGGTAAAGAATGAGAGCAATGAATTGATACCAACTAGGACAATCACAGGATGGAAAGTGTGCATTGATTACCGAAAATTAAATGAAACGACAAGGAAGGATCATTTCCCTCTCCCTTTCATTGATCAGATGTTGGAGAGATTGGCCAGGCATGCTTACTACTGTTTCCTGGATGGTTATTCAGGATACAATCAGATTGGCATCGCTCTTAAGGATCAAGAGAAGACAACCTTCACTTGTCCATATGGTACCTTTGCTTATCGAAGGATGCCCTTTGGGTTATGCAATGCACCAGCCACATTTCGGAGATGCATGATGTCGATCTTTGGTGATATGGTGGAGAGGTTTATAGAAGTCTTCATGGATGACTTCTCTATTTTTGGTTCGTCCTTTGATCACTGTTTATCTAATCTTTCGTTTGTTTTGCAGCGATGTCAATAGACAAACTTGGTGCTCAATTAGGAAAAGTGCCACTTCATGGTCCAGGAAGGAATAGTGCCTTGTCATAAAATCTCTAAAGACAGAATAGAAGTGGATTGAGCAAAGATAGACGTGATTGTGAAGCTGCCACCACCCTCCAATGTTAAAGCAGTTCGCAGTTTCTTGGGGC